GGCAGGGGAACTAGAAGAGTCAGCTGCAGGCACTGTTTGGGGATGAGGGTCTCTCACCTCAGAAGAGGCTGTCTGCTGCTGGAGTAAAGGACGGGGTCAGGGTGGTGAGCCCCACTCTGCTTCCCATCAGCGTCTCAGGCACACCTGCCCGCATTCTTCACGGGATGATGCACAGGAGCCTGGAGATGAGGTCCCATGTGGAGAGAAGCTAGTGCTTTCTCACTCTCCTTTTGGAAATGAGGCCATGTCAATCATGAGAAACTGGTCTGCTGGGACTTGGAAGGTTAGGAGGATTAGTGGCAAGCAGCCCAATCCATTTCAGGGGAGGTAACTGGAAGTGGCCATCAGCCAGGAACGGGGCTGATGCTTGGAGGATGGAGTTGAGATCAATAGAGATGCTCAGCTCACTGGCAGGTTTCATTTCCTCTGCACTGCCCTGTGAGGCAGGGAGGGAGGATGCCCTCAAAGGAGTAAAGAGGGAAAGAGAAACGGAGAGAGAGACTAAGGGACAAAGAGAGTCGAGTTGCACAGCCCATGAGTTCCCAGGGTTTTCACAGCCAAGGGAACAAAGCCCTACTGAGGGATAAATATTTGGTTACAGAAGTGAATGTGTGGCTCACCTAGGCTTAGAGCAAGAACTAGTTCTGCAGGCGAGTATAGGGCTCAGCCTGGGGCCCAGGAGGCAAACGGCGACAGAAGGGTGGGGGGCTGGGCAGAGCCTGATGTTTGGAGGAAGCAGGGTGTTTGGGGAGGAAAAGAAAAGCCACTGAGGCTGCTCCCCCTCAGCACAGCACCCCAGACCTGCACTGTCAGGAACAGCACACAGGAGTAGTTTGGCTCAGGGCTTGGAGGAGAGCCGACCCCCTGCAGCCCTGGAGCCTGCTGAGAGCTGGCAGAGGGACCAGGCAGACCGTGACAACTTGCTCAGGGAGGTACCCTGCCTCTCTCTCTTGAGTGTCAGTTTAGGGAAGTTTCTTCCAGTAAAGTTTCCATGAGGTAGACTTCTGGTTGAGGTCACTGGGTTAGCTTAGTGCACATTGTATGTAGTATTCTCTTGTCTTCTAGCCTTTTGCCGGTGTCTTTTCTGACCCCAGCCCCCATGCCTGATGCTCTTCCAACCACTAGTAATCAATTAATCACCTGCTGTATTCCCCCAACGGGCCTCAGTCCTTGTCTCTAAGATGAGGACATTGGATGAGAGGCCAGGTTTGACCATCTCTGTTACTCTCAGTCTGAGTATCATGCATGAATTGGTGGAGATCGTTGAAAAGATCTCCAGGTAAGCAGAAAAGTCTTTACACAGGACTGAGTATATCGAAGAAAAAAAAAAGAGAGAGAGAAAACTTACACTAAAAAAAAAAAAAGATAATTACTAAGAAAACTAGAAACTAGAAAACTACTAAGAATTAGTATCTTGGCTTTCCTTTTTCTTACGGAGGGAAAAAAAGCTAGAAGTAACTGAATTAGAGACAAAGGTAAACTGCTGGGGCCATCGGCTCCTTATTTTAGGATGTGAATGTTACTCTTCCCTTCAAGCCTCTGAAATGGTGTGCTGAGGGCCGAGGGGCCAGGCTGCTTGGTTGAGCTTGTGCAGAAGTTCGAGGGGGGAAAAAGCTATTATTTAGGTATCACCAATATAACATGCATGGTGGATTTCAATAATGGGCCTGGTCACAAGTATGTCCACTTTCTGAAGGCTGAACAAAATGCTTTCACTTCTATTGTTTCATCTTCCCACCAGCTCTGAGAGGTGGGTTAATACTACTAATCTCATTTCACAAGGAAAGTGAGGTGCTATCAGGTCTCAACAGCCCGTAAGAGATGGGCAGGGCCGAGACTCCAAGCGAAGGCTGCTGACTGGCTTTGGATGCTCTGCTTGGTCCACAAGTGACTGTTTCCAGTGGAAGGCAAGTAATTTGTGCCAGGAAATTAAGCACAATGAGCTATAGAAAAAAAAAAGTCCTTTCACATGAAACATAGGTAGGACTTTGCTCTAATTGCTTTTCTTAAATTTGACACAGTTTGCTAGCATATTCAGCAGTACGAGTGGCACAGTGGAATGAAAGTTAACTTGTCCTTTGATAGTTTATTGGTAGTGATAACCTGCCTGTTTTTAGCATCAGTGGGCTTCAAAATGTTAAAAAATAATTGGGCTTTTTTTAAAAAAAAAGTGTAAGTTTGTGGTCAATTTGAAGAAGTCTAAAATTGAGGGAACAAATTATTTCTAGCAACCAGTACTCAGGAAATGACCTGGGAAGTTAACACAGATGGTCACCTCGATTACTTCTCAGGAGCCCCATCACAGGGCCCCCTCACATTCCTAACTCCCTCCCACCACCTGCCTGGTTTTAAATCCCACCAGCACTGAGGTCCTGGTCAGGAATGTCCCAAGCCAGCTCCCCAAGGAGGCGTGAGGAGAGTAGAAAGGCCCTTCACTCACTACCCCAGGGAAAGGAGGCCTTGGGCTCCTGAGTCAGCTGAACAGGGGCAGAAACGGAGAGGGCACAGGCTCTCTCCCTTTCAGGAGATTTAGGGATAGTCAGTCAATTTGGGCCAAGTGGATATTTAGAGCTCACTGAGTTGAACTGAATTTTATCTTAGTACCAAAAGGTGCTATGCTTTTTAATGGCAACATGTTTCAAAAGTTTACATGAAACAGCATTAAACGTAAAAGTAGGGCTCACTAACATGCATTTGGAGTGAGCTCAACAATGTTTTAAAATATACACACAGGCATGAAACAGGAGAGGTAAAATATGCCAAGAAGGTTAAAAGGTTTTCTCCACATGGTGGGATTATTGTTCTTTATTTTAAATATCTTTTTAAAGGTGGCTTCCCCCCCCCTTTCACAAATGCATATGCAAAGCTTCTATAGTCAGGAAAACATCATAAAATTGCTTTGTAAATTCAGTTGGATGGCTTCTTGATTCTTAGCTAGATCAAGTGCAAATCAGCTGAAATTTGCTTTAGGGGAAGTTGAGGAGGGTCGGGGCAAACCAGGCTGGCATCACAGACACAGCCCCAAACCTTGAGACAACCTTTTTGGCTTTTCCTGCATGAGAAGCTGAACCTGTGCCCAGTTCTACAGCTTGGTGTAGGGCAACCCACAAGATAGCTGTGTGACCACAGGAATGTCCCTCTCTCAGCAACCCAGCTACATCATCTGTAATGTGGGAACAGCAACCCTTACCTCATAGGTCATAAAAATAACAGCAATAATCCTAGCAGGCCCCCTGTGGTGTGTTTTGCACCCACTTTCTCTAACCTTCACTTCACAGATGAGGAAATCATGGCTTAAAAAGATTAAGTGGCTTGCCCAGGGCTAGAGTGGAGTCAGAACTCAAACCCACCCAGGTCCCTAGCTTCAGAGATGGCTCCTTCTGCTCCTCCAGAGAGCCTCCCATGGACGAAGGTACTCTGTGATCTGGACTGCTATTATAATGATGATAACAACACAGCATCATTATTTTTGTTGTGAATTCCAAAACGCTTTTGTGCTGATATATTTAGAACCTCCCGTGCAAGATGAGACTGAAAAAGACTGCTGATTAGATTCTGTTTTGATTTGTGAAGGGAAAGTGCCTATCACAGAAATCCAATTTCCTGCTGGGTTTAGCCTCTTTAAAAGGGCTTATAGAAAAGAGGTCTGTGACTTGAAGCAAGTAATTTCCGCTTTGCGAGCCTCAGTTTCCTGACTTGCAAAGCTCATGGAGGTGGTTCTAACTGTAGCTCACAGTGTCCTGTAGGCTGTACTCTTTATGGGAACGGATTACCTGGTCTTTTCTTCCGCAGAGCTGCTGGCAGAGAGTGCTTAACCACTGCACCTCAGGTATTTCTGAGGTTAACAAAAACCCCAATCCAACCCACTGTTGTCAAGTTGATTCTGTGTAGAATTGTCCCGTTGGGTTTCTGAGGTTTTAGTTCTTTATGGAAACAGACTGTCTCATCTTTAGTATCCCAGAGGAGGGACTCAATCAATTCCATTACAATTCTAGCTTCTAAAGAGGTGTGTCTGAGTAGAATACAGCTTATCAGCCTGTTTCCACTCACTCAAAGCTTGTTCTCAAGATGAACTGTGATTTAATGTGAGTTCATTGGGTAACCCTGGTACTCTCCCTGGTACTTCCCTTGGCCAATCTGGTTGAAGTCTTGGAGGGGGTGAGGTGCTCTCTCCTTTCTCAGGAGTCCTGTCTCAAGGTCCCTGTGGGTGTCCTTGACATTCTCAACTCTCTTGTTCATCTGTCTGGCTCCACACCCTTCTGGGGTGAAGACTTTCTATGGACTGGGCCAGCCTAACCCTACATGCTGAGGACAGGCAAGCAGAAAGTAGGCAAAAAAATGATGAGGTTTCCTTGCCTCAAAGGGTGGGCACATTAGATCTCAAGGGGCAGACCCTGGGGAGGGGAGGGACTCCCGGAGTAGGCTGAAAAGAGGTGAGGAGAGAGGGCAGGGGAGGCATCGGAAATTCAGGTATTTGGTAGAAAAGAGGAAGAATGGGTAATGGTTACCAGATAGGGTGACTAACCATTCTGTTTGCCCACAACTGAGAGGAGGCCAAGGGTTCTGGGCATTTCATGACAAAATCCAGAAAGTAATTTAGCCTCCACCATTAACTGGCTGCGTGAGCCCAGGCAAGTCACTTGGGCCCTTGGAACTGCTCTTCAGTGAAAGGAGAACTGGACCGGCTCAATTTTGAAGGCGCTTCAAATGTGCTCACGGAGCTCTGGCCCCAGAAACAAGTGGCTTGGGAGGATTTTTGTGACCAGCAGAGCTGACCAGGGGAGACTCTCATGGGGAGTCGGGTGCTTTGTGGACACTCCTGCTTCAGTAGTGATTCTTATTCTTCCCCGCTATCCCTGGGCACGTGCTTCCCCCAAGCTGCCTGCCTGCAAGGTTGGCAAGATCAGGCTGGCAGGAAGGGCTCCATGTGCATGCCTGGGCCTGGGCCTGGACCCCAGGGGCGCTCCAATTAGGGGGCTGGAGGGTGGGGGCGCTCCTACCTGCAGGCCATTGGAGTACACATCGCTCTCTGAGAGTGAGTCCACCAGGTCCTCTTCATCCAGCGTGGCCCGCTTGTAGGTCGACATCTGTAAGGCCAAATGCAGCACGGACTCCCTCAGTGCCTCCATGACTCTCACATGCGAAAGGGGAAGCAGCCCCCGGCGCCTCTGCTGCCGCTGCACCGCCCCGGCTGGGACACCCGGGGGGCCAGGACACCCCGGACCTGCCTACGAACCAGCCCTTGGCTGGGGAGGGGTCCTCACTCCCCGGCCCCCCTCCACACTTATGCAACGTCGCGTCTCACCCCCAGCACCGACAACGCAGCTGCCACTAGGTGTGGTGGCCACATGCTCTTCATGCTGAGCCTGGTGACACCCCAGCCTCTGCCGCCAGGGCCCTGGGACCCGTCAGGCTGGCCCGGAGGGCGGGCCGCAGGGGCTCGGGCGGGCGGGGCGAACCTCGTACCGCCTTGCGGGCGGGGCCTGCTTACCAGGAGAGCGACTCCTTTCCCCTCCCCTTGACTTGCTGCAGAGAAGACCCCTTGCGGTTGGAGAGAGACCGAGGAAGGGGGGAAAGTGAGAAGGTGCAACTCTTTCCCCTGAAGTTGGAGCAAGGTATACCCATGAGAAGCCACTAGCTGGCAGGAAGGAGCTTTGTTCTAACTCTGCCTTCTGGTAAGAAAAATAAAGTTCTGCTTCAATAATGAGTTCCTCCAAGGCAGATCCAAAAGTTCAAGAATTAGAAGTTGCCTCCCACTTGACTTGGAGCAGGAAGAGAGAGACTGTAACCCCGTTATTGGCAAGGGATTTCCTCAGGGCTGAAAGATTGGAAAGGGGGAAAAGTAACATAAAAAAGGTAGGCGTCTGTCTCTTCAATTATTTCCACTTTCCCCCAGTCTAGAGTTCTCTGAGTGTTCATGAATTAATTTTAACAAGTTCTAGCGAACTCCCCTGATACAGAATGAAAAACCCTGCGTGTGCACGCTGAGGGTGTGAGATATAAATAAATCGATCGATACTGGTATGATCAAGGTGTGACACTTCCACCAAATCATTAAGAACCACTGCTTTGTTTTGTTGGAGAAGAGTCCTGAATATTCCACGGACTTCCAAAAGGACAGACAAGTCTGTCTTGGAGGCCGTGCAACCAGAGTGCTCATTAGAGGAAACTATGGTGAAGCTTGGCCTCTGAAGCTCGGCGTATTGTTGGGGGACGGGAGGGGGGGGGGCTAACTTTGGAGAAAGCCATGTTGAGAATAGTGGCGGGTTAGAGGACGAGAGAAAAACTACTCAAACAAGATGGAGTGTCATAGTGATTGTAACAGTGGGCTCAAGCATGTTGGTGAGGATGGAGCGCTATCAATAAGGTAAGGTTTAGCTCTGTGGTTCACAAGGTCGCTATGACTATAGTTGACCTGATGGCACAACAACAAAGGCATTGGTTCAAGTGGGAAAAAACCCAACACCCCCAAAAACACAAATCCAAAAAGCAAGGAAGGTGAACTTCCTTTCGCTATCCCCCTAAGGAGTCAAAAGCCTCAATGCAAGTTGCTCCCTCCCTAGCACCTGAGCCTCTCAGGAAACCCTATGACTCTAGCCTGGAAAAGTGGATTCTGGGCCCCCTACACTCTTCTTTTCCATTCATAAAAAATAAAAACAACCCACCCCAAACATCACAATAAACTTAAATTCATTCCATCTAGTCGGTTCTAATTCATAGTGACCCTTTGTCGGGGTTTCTGAGGCTATAATCGCGATGGAAGAGTCTGCCCATTTCTCTCCTGAGAAGCTGCTGGTGGATTTGAACAGCCAACGATGCACAACCTTCTGGTCACCAGCATAACTCCTTAGGAACTACACTACTAGAGCTTCCCTTTCCACCCATAAACTCCAGAACATCTAAACCAACAGCTCCCATAAGGGACCTTAACTTCATGTGAGATGTGAAATATACTGTATTTTACACATGTTTATCCAGCTTGTTTAAAGTTTATTCCCATAATGATTCTCAGAATCACAAATGTGTGTGACAACGAGCTTAGAGAGGGAAGGAGATGCCTACAGGCCTACAGACAGTGACAGCCACGGCTCTGGACTTGTCTCTCAGCTTCCACTCCGATAGCCAGTAATCCGTTCAAAACACAACTCATCTTGCCACTCTTGGAATAAAATTGGAATCCTTACCAGGCCTCAATAGCCCCTGCACACTTCGGCTACCTCATCTTGTGCTGTTCCCTGCTTCTCCTCACTCACTTTGGCTCTAGCTTCTGTAACTTTTAGTCATTCCTCAAATTCTGTTTCTCCTTCCCCTAAAATCTTTGTGCCTGTTCTCACTTCTGGAATGTTCTTTCCTCATTTGCATTCTTGCTATGGCTGGTTCCTGCTTCAGCTCAATTTAAATGCACCTCCTCAAATGTGCTGACATCCTAGCTAAGATGGTGGTGTGTGCTTTCTAGATGATTCTGACTCAGAGCAAGCCACAGGAATACAGAACTGCCTCACAGGATTTCTAAGGTGGTAATCTTTATGATACATAAAAGCCTTTGAGCTGTGGTGCTGGAGAAGAGTATTGAATGTACCATGGACTGCCAAGAAAACAAACAGATTCATCCTAGAGAGGATTAAACCAGGCTGCTCCTTGGAGGCAAGGATTCTGGGGCTTCGTCTGACATAGTTTAGACATGTTGTAAGGAGAGACAGGTCTTTGGAGAAGGGACATCATGCTTGGTAGAGTAGAGGGACAGCGCAGGAGGGGAAGACCCTCTATGAGGTGGATTGATTCAGTGACTGGGGTAAAAGGGATGGGTGTGTCAGAGGCAATGCGATTGGCACAGGATAGAGCAGGGTTTAGGGCTGTTGTACATAGGGTCGCGATGAGTCGCAAACAACTCGACGGCACATAACAACAACAACAATAATCTTTATGAAAGCTTAACTGTTCATATCTTTCTTCCCCAGAGCAGGGTTCAAACTGGCAACCTTTCAGTTAGCAGTTGAGCACTTAACCACTGTTACCTATTATGTTATTACACCATCAAGTTAGAACTGACAAACACAGCTGGCCTTTCAGGAGTTTTTCAGGGCAGCAGATCACATGGAAGGAGAGACTATTTTTTTTTTCCTGTGGGGCAGAGCTGCTAGTGAATTCTAATCACATGTCTTTGGTTCCTTATCACTAGGCCACCAAAACTCCCTGTTCTCTCTTGTTGTTATGTACTATCAAGTCAGAATCGACCCATAGCTGACCCTTGAGCAGATTTTTCAGGAGTAGACGGTCCATTTTTTCTCCTGTGGAGAAGCTGGTGGATTCAAATTGCAAGCCTTCGGGTTGACAGAGCAGCTCCTTATCACTATGTCAAGCAGAGCTCCCTGTTCTCTATTATAGTGCCCTATTTTCTCCTTTATAGTATTTGTTGCAGTCTGTTATTTTGTTTGGTTTTACTTATTTGCAGTCTATTTTCTTCCTCCTTTCCAGAATTTTGAGCTTTATCGGGGATAGGAATTGGTATGGTGTGACCAACAGATCATCCTAATACCTGCACACAGTGTTGCTCTAAACATTTGAAAAAGTGAATAGTGGAACAAGGGTAAACTATTCTGGGGCTGTGCCTTTAAATCTTTGTGCAGCTAACTTTTCAATGTCCAAGAACAAAGGACATTCTTCTGTAGCAGGGTGTCTGGGAAGAATTTTTATTCTGGAACCTCTCTGCCTCCCTCTCACTGGGTGAAGGAGTTCTCATTACTGTCCCAAAGACAGAAAGGATTCCCAAACCTTCTCAACTTTCTTCACTTACTGCTGAGTAAATTCTGCCCAGTGACAGTTTTCTAGGTTATAATTTTTAAAGGAGCAGATCCCAGAGGCAGATGACGGGTCTGAACCACAGACCTTTCAGTGAGCAGCTAGGCATACCACCTTTGCTCCACCAGGGCTCGTTAGCTTTGGTTACGTGGGAGATTTATCTATAACCGTGACACTTGGCATCAGGGCACACACAATTTGAGAGCACAGACTCACCTCTAAGATATGCAGCCTGAACCTAGAAGCTAGAGACTTTATACAATGAAAGAGCAAAGTTTTTAAGCTGGACAAATCTGAGTTTGAATCCCAGCATCACTCTTGTCATGGTGGACAAATTTGGTTACATCCCTTGAGCTCTCTGATCTTTAGTATCTTCATTTGTAAAATAGGGTCATCATAAAACGGAACTGACAAGGTTGTTGGGAGGATTAGGTGAATTAACCTAGTAAGTAAAGCACATAGCCCAGAGCCTGGAATTTGTAGGCACTCAGCAAATGATAGTCCTCTGTGACATCATTGCTTAATGCTCCTCTAAATTACACTTTGCAGAAGGTCAAGGACTGTAGTCTTCAATATGGATTGAAGCTAAACATCAAGAAGACAAAGATTTTCGTCACTAGGCCAATTGGCAGCACCATGACGGATGGAGAAGAGACTGAGGTTGCTTGCTTGGCTCCACAACTAACACTCTTGACATCAGCAATCAGGAAATCAAAAGATTAATTGCATTGGGAAAATCTGCTTTCAGGGACCTCTCCAGAGTGCCGAAGAGCAATTATTTCAGTCTAGAGACTAAGGTGCACCTTATCCAGGCCATAGTCTTCACAACAACATCAGAGAGCTGGACAATGACTAAGCATGGCAGAAAAAGAATTGATGCCATTGAGTTGTGGTGCTGGAGAAGAGTATTGAACGAACCATAGGCAGCATGAAAACAACTCTATCTTGAAGAGGGTGAAACCAAGAGTCTTCTTGGAGGCTAGGATTCTGAAGCTTTATCTCACACACTCTGGGCATGTGACCAGGAGGGACCAGTCCTTGGAGAAGGACATAACACTTGGAAGAGTGGAAAGAAAGACCTTGGATGAGATGGATTGACATGATAACTAGGGCAATGGGATTAGGTGTTTTGGAAGTCAGTGAGACTAGCTCAGGACAGGGCAAGGTTCAGAGCTGCTGTAGGGTCACTGTGATTTGCATGCAACTTGATAACCCGTAACAATAATAAATCGCATTTGTATGGCCCCAGTATCAAGGAGCTGCCTACCTCAAAATAAGATTTTCTGCCTAGCCTGTTAAATAAAGTGTCTCTTATTGCAGCTGCAAACTCAATCCTTCTGATGGGGCAGGGAGGAGGGGGGGATCTACCCATGACTATAGTCTTAGATATAACATCTAGTTGGAATACTGCAATCAAGCAATTCAGTTTTCATCTTTTCACGAGGAATGAAAAGGGGGTATAGCTAAGACTCAGAAACAAAAATTCTTACCACTAGACTGATAGGCTACATCATGATAAATGGAGAAACGGCTGAATCTGGCAACAACTTCATCTTACTT